GCGTGACCCTGGCCCAGGCCCCTTGTGTCCCCCTCTGATCCTGAACATGCCACTCAGGTCCGGCAGGTGCGACTCTTCCAGGATGAGGAGATCTACAGCGACTTGTACCTAACTGTGTGCGAGTGGCCCAGTGACGCCTCCAAGGTCATCGTCTTTGGCTTCAAGTGAGATTCAGGGAGGACTGGGGAGGCCGCGGTGGGGGAGGCCTTGGCTGGGGCTGAGTGGGTGTTGGTCCCCAGCACGCGCTCTGCCAACGGCATGCTCATGAACATGATGATGATGAGCGACGAGAACCACCGCGACATCTACATCAGCACCGTGGCTGTGCCGCCGCGGGGCCGCTGCGCTGCCTGCCAGGACGCCAGCCGGGCCCACCCAGGTGGGGCAGGGGGTCCCGGGGTCTGTCAGGTCGCCCTCCCAGCTCCCGGGCCTCTAGTGACCTGCCAGGCCTGTGTCACTGCAGGTGACCCGAGCGCGCAGTGCCTGCGGCACGGCTTCATGCTGCACACCAAGTACCAGGTGGTCTACCCCTTCCCCACCTTCCAGCCCGCCTTCCAGCTCAAGAAGGACCAGGTGGTGCTGCTCAACACCAGCTACTCCCTGGTGGCCTGTGCCGTCTCCGTCCACTCTGCAGGTAGGTCCTGAGAGTCTAGCGATGGGCATGCCCAGGCCCTGGGATGATTTCTGCTCACTCTGCCCAGCAGCACCCGAGGCTGGTCTCATTCCTACCCCAGGGTGCAATGAGGAGACCGAGGTTCAGAGAAGTGACGTATTTCCTGTGAGGTCACCACCAGGAAGCAGGAATGCTCAGATCCAAGCCCATCCTCCCCCCAGCACTGTTCACTAGAATTTTCTGTAGGGCTAGGATGTACTGTGGCTATGTTGTCCACTGTGGTCATCTCCAGTAACTTTTGAAACTGAGGGTTTTTAAAAAAATTTTTATTATTTTTTTAATGCCTTTATTTTATTTAGTTATTTTTATGGTGCTGAGGATGGAACCCAGGGCCTCTGTGTGCTGGGCAAGTGCTCTAGCACTGAACCACAACCCCAGCCCCTGATATTCTAGTTTTATTTAATTTTTGCTATTTTACATTTCAGCAGCCAGATCTGTCTGGCAGCTACGGTGTGGGCAGTGCTGGGGGCTCGGGGTGTCGTTCAGCACTGTCTCGCCGTACAGGGCACTGGGTCCACTCCCAGCACTGCTAAAAAAGATGTTGACAAAATACAGTGACCCGTCACTTGACGGGGTACATTCTGGGCAGTGCGCTGTAGGGCGATTTCATGCCACGTGGACGTTATAGTAGCCGCTCAACAAACCCGGGGGGTGTGGTGGCCGCACACCCAGGCTCTGCGCTGTGTGGCGTGCGTGCGTGGTCCACTGACCAGGCACCCCACATGACTGTCAGGGAATGGTTGGTTGGTGGACACTGATCTTACCTCTGGGTAGCAGAGAAATTGCAGTGAAAAGTCTGAACATGTCCTCTGATAGAGTGACACTGGTGAAGTGGGAGGAAGCCACTGGCTGGCAGTGGCGTCCTGGGGGCCTTGTGGCAATAGACTGACCCAGCAGCTCTGCTCCATGCCCAGGTCACTTCCTCTGGGAGATGCTCACCAGCGTGTGTGGGGCATCCTGAGGGGCACCATGGGCGCCCCGTGTCCATCCGCAGAGCACGTCAGGGCCATGGGTCGAGGCAGAAGCCTGACCCTGACCACCTGGTGTCAACCAAAAATACGTCTTAATTTTGGAAGAACTCAGTCAACTACACTCACACCCATTGTAAATCCCCATTAGAATGGTGGTTCTGGGGGCAGGGGAGGCAGGATCAGCTGTGGTGACTAAGTCCACCGCCAGGAAGGGGCACTCGAGCCCAAGCACCCAGGGATCTCCCAGCCAGCGTGGGTGAGGCCCAGCCGTTTGCCGTGAGCCCTGGGGGGGGCTCTGCCCTCATGGCTGTGGTTCCTGATCTCTGCCCAGCCCAGGGCAGGGCCACTCACGAGTGCCACACTCACGGGAAGCCTGCTCCCGGGCACTCTTTGCTCAGCCGTTTCCAGCTTTCACTCCCCGTGGCCCCGACGTGCCAGGCTGTGGTGGACAGGACTCACCTGGGTTGTCTCACTGTGTGGACTGGGACACGCTCCTCTCGGAGCCTCCCTCTGGGGACACGGCCCCCTCTCCCAGGTGGCTCTGGGGGTTCCCAGGAGGCCCTGTGCAGGCCCCGCCATGGCGCTGTGGGGGGTGGGCTGGCACGCTCGCTGGGCACCCCACTCCTCGGGAGCCTGGCTCTGGACCGGTGGCCACAGAGGCCTGGAGGGGCCAGTCTGTGCCTGCACCCCTCTTTCTAGGGAGCTGACTTTATTGTGTGGCTTTTGTCCATCCTCACTGTGGACTCTGGTCTCCCAAGGACAGGGCTCTGTGAGTCTTGGTCACTTGTGGCCTCTTGGCACGATGCAGGGGAGCAGGGAGGGCAGGGTCTGAAGGAGGCCGCCTGCTGCGCAGCTGACGCTCCCTGGTGCTTCAGAGCCCTTGGCATGAGCTGGTTCAGGAGGGGCTCCCTGAGGTGCGTTTCTGAGAAGCCCTCGGGGTCAGGTTAGGAGTGTCCTGACCCCCCACCTCCCTCCCTCTCCTTGCAGGCGACAGCAACTTCTGCCAGATCCTGTATGATCACACCGCCTCCCCCCTGGCCCCGCCCACCCACCCTGGGCCCCGGAGCCCAGAGGTGTCCCCCGCCCTCCCCAGCCTCAGTCCGGAGACGGCCCCGACCCGGCCCTCCGGGGCCCCTGAGCCCTCGCCTGCCATCGCCAAAGCCAAGGAGTTTGTGGCTGACATCTTCCGCAGGGCCAAAGAGGCCAAGGGGGGGACCTCTGAGGAAACCCGGCCGCCCCCCTGCCCAGGGCCCTCTGCCAGCCGCTGCCGCCCAGCCTCTGATCCCCCAGTCCCAAGTGGGGAGGCAGTGCCTAGGGACAGCCCCCCAGCCGCGGAGGCCCCCGCCCCCGAGCCCGGCTACGTCAACTACACCAAGCTGTACTACGTGCTGGAGTCCGGAGAAGGTGCCGAGCCCGAGGATGGTGAGCCCGGGGCCACCCACCGAGGTGCGGGCTGGGGAGGACCCTCAGGTGTCCCAGCACCCTTAACCCCACTTCCTGCCTCCCCAGAGTTCGAGGATGACAAGATCTCCTTGCCCTTCGTGGTGACCGATCTCCGGGGCCGCAACCTACGGCCCATGCGGGAGCGGACCGCTGTCCAGGTGGGGGCTGGGCAGTGGGCAGGCCACAGGTGGCCCAGGAGTTGTGGGTGGCAGGTGGCACCATCATCCCCCTGCTTTCCACCCACTGCCCCCAGGGCCAGTATCTGACAGTGGAGCAGCTCACGTTGGACTTCGAGTACGTCATCAACGAGGTCATTCGCCATGATGCCACCTGGGGCCACCAGTTCTGCTCTTTCAGTGACTATGACATAGTCATTCTGGAGGTGGGCCCAGGCATGGGGCAGGGTGGGCCCAAGCCTTTCCTGCTCTGAGGGGTGACCATGAATAGCGTCCCCTCCGCTTTCCAGGTCTGCCCCGAAACCAGCCAGGTCCTCATCAACATCGGCCTGCTGCTCCTGGCCTTCCCCTCCCCCAGTGAGGAGGGCCAGCTCCGGTGAGTGGGTGGAGGAGCCCTGCCCAGCCCTTCTCCAGGGCTGGGCATGTGGGGAGACCACTCAGCGGGCCAGAACCTAGATCGCCCATGTGACCTAAAGACAGGCGCAGCGTAGGGACCCACGGCCCGCCTGGCCCCGCCTCCTCGTCCTCTGTCTCCGTCTCCCCGTCCTGACTCCGCCTCCCCGTCCTGACTCCGCCTCCCCGTCCTGACTCCGCCTCCCTGTCCTGTCTCCACCTCCCCGTCCTGACTCCGCCTCCCTGTTCTGTCTCCGCCTCCCCGTCCTCTCTCTTTCCCCCACCCCGCTACAGACCAAAGACTTATCACACCAGCCTCAAGGTGGCATGGGATCTCAATACGGGCATCTTTGAGACCGTCAGTGTGGGTGACCTCACTGAGGTCAAAGGGCAGACCAGGTGAGGTGGAGCTGGTGGGGAGGGGGAGGGGGTGACAGCTAGGGTCCCAAGCCCCACTCACCCCCTCCCCCCTCAGCGGCAGCGTCTGGAGCTCCTACCGCAAGAGCTGCGTGGACATGGTCATGAAGTGGCTGGTGCCTGAGAGCAGTGGCCGCTATGTCAACAGGATGACCAATGAGGCTCTGCACAAAGGTGGGGCTCGGGACCTGATGTGCTTGCTGGCCGGTCACCTGCCCTCAGAGGCACCTGCTGAATGAATGTACAGCTGGACACGCCAGTGGACCTCGTGGAATCAGGGCCAGGGGAGGGCGGCCGCCTGGGCCTAGCTCAAGGGCGCTGGCAGGCAGGCTCACAGCTGCCTCCGCTCTTCCTGCAGGTTGCTCCCTGAAGGTTCTGGCCGACAGCGAGCGGTACACGTGGATTGTGCTGTGAGGTCCGGCCGCCCTGGACACTGACTCCAACTACCTCCGCGGCCTGGGAGCTGGCCGCCTTCCCCGGCTGGCCTCTTCCCGGCCGGCCGCCGACCGGCACTAGTGTTAGGCTGCGGGAAGGGGGCTGGGCGGGGCAGCCCCTGGTGGCCTGAGAGTCTGGACGCTTTTTTATTTATGCCTATTTAAGTTGGGAAAGGGCAGAGGGAGGGAGCCCCCTGCCCCCCAGCCTCAAGACCCACCTTCACCCCGAGCTGGGCCCGGGCCTGGCTCCTGAGCATCTGCCCCTTTCCTTGGCTGCAGGTTTGCACGAGACCCTGGGGGAGGTGGGGTGGACCTGCCCACCCAAGGCTCCCCTCCTGAGGCGGGAACCTGCTAGCCGCCCCCACCTGTTCCTCTTCATGTAGTAAATGCTTTATTTCTGAACTTGGCTGAGGTCCTGTTACTGCAGCTCCAGGGCCCAGCTGGAGCCCCCATCCCATGGCCCCCAGCAAGGCCCAGCAAGTCAGCAGCAGACAAATATCACAGCGGAATTTATTGTGTTTTAAGAAAGACTACAAAAAGGTAGAAAACAGCTCGGCACACTAAACTACCACACGTGTGGACACTTTCACCGCCGGGGAGAGGGGAGGCCCCGTGGGCATTGGGGGAGTGGCAGGGCCACCCCAAAAGCTGTAGCACGCGGAGCACACAAAATAGTGATTCTTATACAATAGGTCAGATTTTCCTTTTTTTTTTGTTTTCTTTTTTGCCATAAACATCTATCTCACAGGTTGAAAACACTGAGAAAACTGGAACAGATAAGGCCATGATGGTTGGAAAAAAACCCAACAAGTTACCAACTCCGCTCAGGCGGCGCTCACAAATCGCACAATAGTCATGGGGGGCGGGGTCCACGGCACGGAGGAGAAGCGAGTCTCCAGGAGAAGGTTCCATTACAAACCAGCGGCGCAGAGGGCGCAGGGCCTCGGATGTGTGGAGCACCCAGCACTGGCCGGGCGGGCGCGGGCACTTCCCGGCCCTGCAGCAGCCCGCTGCTCTTCTTTGGAAGCTGGAAGCCGCGGCCCCTGCCGCCGTCGCAGTGTCGACGTGGGGCCACGGGGCGAGGGAGGCCCAGCTCTGGAGAAGATGCAACCCCCCAGCTTTAATTGCACTTATACCAAGAAGGGGGAAGCAGTGGGGTTGCTGGGGGTGGGGGGTTGTCCCGGGGCTGCTGCTGACAGTGGGGGTCCCCAGGTGCCACCCACCTGCGCCTGCCCGGGGCTCGGCTGGGCCCAGGACAGGCTGTGCAAAGCCAGCGAGCAGAATAAGTTAACAGTTCCTAGGAGAGGGGGCCTGCCTGCCTGCCCCCTGGGGCGGCGGGCCGGTGGGGGAGACGCTGCGACCTTGGTTGGCGGGGTGGGAGGCAGGGGCCGAGCTGCCCTGTGGGGCACCTGGGCACGGCGGCGGGTTCCTTAAGGCACGTCTTTTGTGTCAGAGTTTGCAGCTGCGGCTCCGCCCAGCCCTGTGATTGTGCCGGCCCCATCGGGGGGCGGGGCCCCCCTTGCCTTCCCTGTCTCGGAGGCCCCCTCCTGCCCTGGCCCGGGCCTGGAGGGGTGACAGCGAAGCCACAGAAGCCGTGAGGGACCCTGGCGTGGAGGAACGGAGGGGCGGGCGGGGCGGGAGGGGCGGGGCTGCGGGCTTAGCTTGAGGGCAGCGCTTGCACGAAGAGGCCGCGCGTGTCGGTCCGCGCCAGCTTGGCCGGCGGCTCCAGGGCCTCGGGGCCCAGCGCGGGCGACTCGCCGCCAGCCGCCAGCGAGATGTCCTGTGGCAGCTCGTCCTCGCTCTCCTCCTCCTCTTCCTCCTCTTCGTCTGGGGCACACGGACCAGGCCCGGCTCAGCGCAGGGTGTCGGCGCCCCGCCGGCTCTTCCACCCCAGCCTCCCTGCCCGCCGCCTCCGGGACCCGGGCCTGAGTGGGGACACGCCTTGCCTACCTTTGTCCGGGTCCAGGGGGTTCAGCGAAGTGGCCAGGTTGGCGAACTGGAGAGAGGCGAGAAGAGAGAGTGAGGGTCCCACCGCCTGGAGCCGGGCCCACGCCCTCAGCGCCCCGTGGTGCGCACCTCGCCCATGACGGCGATCGGGGTCTCGCCCTTGGCCTGGGCCACGCGGTGCTCGATCAGGTAGTACATGTACTCATCGTAGAGCAGCCGGATGAGGTGGAAGGAGCCGAAGCTGGCGGCGCTGCGCAGGGTCAGGTCCCGGATCACCATGGAGCTGGGGGTGGCAACCGAGAGGCCCTCAGGCCCGGCTCAGCCGCTCGCCCCGCTTGTCTCTCAATGCACCCAGGCACGCGCGAGCCCGGCGACGACACGGGACACCACGCTGGTTCTCCTAGGTTGTCCCTCATTGAGGGCCGAGGCCCCCACTTTCTTGAAAGAGCACCTGAGCCTCGCCCTCCTCGGAGGCGGAGGCTTCTCCAGTCCCACCCACGCCAAGCCGCGGGACTCTAGGGTCCCATCCGCTCCAAACAGAAGGAACCTTTGGGCTCCACCTTTGGCCCGACCCAGGAAGCAGGGCCCCGCTACTGGCGTCCTGGGGCGTGGCCTCGCTGGTCCCACCCAGCCCCGCACAGGCACGCACCTGTAGAAGGACCACTTGAGGAGGAAGAGCTTGGCGGCCTTGGGGAAGCCGGCGCTGCCCTGGTAGGGCTTGAGAACCTGGCTCACGACGCCGTCCAGCCAGGCCGCCCATTGCTCCAGCGAGTTCTGCTGCTGCAGCGTCACCTTGAAGTCCTGCTCCAGACGCTGCACCACGCGGTCCTCGCAGCGGCACACCCACGAGGCCTGCTCCTGGAGCACAGCGGGGAGCGGGCAGCGCCCGAGGCTCAGCCTTCGCCCCGTCGGGCCGCCCCGCGCGCCCCTGCACCGCCTGGCGCTCACCTGGACGTTGGCGAAGTCCACGCGGTTGAGGTCGCTCAGCATCTGGTTGATCTGCGCCGTGTTCTGCAGCACGGCGCGCGCCGCCTGCGCCAGGTGGTTGAGCGAAGTGTAGCGCCTCAGCGTCTGCGCGAAGGCGCCGGCCGCGGCCACCTGCGTGCGGGCCAGAGGGGCTGTGGCTTCCGCGGAACCCACCCTCCAGCCCCCGCCTCACCCGCTGCAGCGGTTGAGCCTCCTCCGTGTCCCCTTGCGTGGGCCCAAGACCAACTTACTGCATTCTAATCAGCACCACCGCACCCATGACCTGCCCTTTTTTTCCCTTTTGGTACTGGAGACTGAACCCAGGCTACCACGCTACCACTAAGCGGGATTCCCCAGCGCCCTCCCCCACCCCTGCCCTTTAATCTTCTAAGTTGGCCAGGCTGGCCTGGACTTGCGGTTCTCCTGCCTCAGCCTCTGGAATCGGGGCATTACAGGCTGCGGTCCCCAGCCAGCCCATTGTTGTTATTTTTAAGGAAAGAAAACAATGGAATATATAGAGGGCACCGCCCAGAAAGGGCACCACACTTCTTAGACTTTTTAATTTTTTGGTTATTGTACCCTTGATTTCAGCTCCAGGAGGGCAGGGTGACTGTCCATCTTGTTCAGTGCTATCCTTCCAGCACTGAGAAGCTAGCCAGGCACACAGTAGGTGCTCAATAAATGCATGTTGAATGAACAAGCATATGAGTCTTGCCAGTTCTGAAGGGTTTCCTCCTGCCACCCACTTACCGGGCATACCCTCCCCCACCCTGACCAGCCTGCACATGATCCTAGGTTGGACACACAGCACTGGGGACGGGGCCGGAGGGAGGGAAGCAGATATGGAGTTTGTTTAGCTTCTATGCTGTTTGCCCAAAAGCCAGCACATCCCGCCTCATCCCTTGCACCTGAGTAGTTAATGAACCTGCAGCACTGATGGAAAGGCGCTCACCCTTTCCTTACAGACACTGTCTGTTTAAAAAAGTCTCTTCTATTCTGAACACAAGAAGTGCTTTCTCACCAGGCTGTCTGAAGACAACTAATGCAAATTCATATTTGGTTTTTATTTTTATTTTTTTGCTACCCTAGGGATGGAACCCAGGGTGCTCTATCACTGAGCACATCCCCAGGCCTGTTTATTTTCTGAGACGGGTCTTACTATGAGTTGCCCAGGGGCCTTGCCAGAGATCCTCCGTCTCAGTTTCCCCAGTCACTGGGGCTGCAGGGTGCGCCCCGGGCCTGGCTTGGTTTATATATTTTTAAGATGTTAAGTCCTCACTGCTACGAGGGGTCATGTCTCAGCAGTGGGCACTGGAGGGAGCTGCTCTATAAGACGACACTTGAGTCCTCCCTGAGGCCCCAGGTTCCCCAAGTGCACTCCCATCCTCCCCAGGACAGGTGTGGGGACAAGTCTTCAGCCCCTGTGGAGCCCAGAAGAGCGAAGCCCGCGGCCCCAGAGCCAGGAGGAGCGGCACGGCCTCACCTTCACCCGCAGCATCTCCTCGGGGATGTTCACCATGGCGTGGGTGAGCCAGCTCTCCAGGCTCTTGGCAAAGTTCCGGATCGCTTGGGTCAAGGCACCTGCGGGCAGTGGGGGAGGGGCGGTCAGGGAGCGGGCCGTGCACTCACTGGGGATGGGGCAGGCCACGCACTCACTGGGGATGGGCCGCAGCACGTCAGGGATGAGGATCTCCACCAGGCCCTGGTACAGCGCGTGGTCGCAGCGCTTGGTCCACTGCAGCACAGGCTCGAACTTGGAGAGGAGCACCAGGCTGGCCTTGGGCAGCCGCTTCTCAGCCTCATCGTGCCTGCGGGCACCCGTCCACCCCAGGTCACACAGGTGCTCCATGGTCCTGTGCCCAGGACGACGGAGGCACCAGCCAGCCACTGCCGACTGGGGTTTGGCTGGGCACTTCCTGCCTCCTGCGGACGCGCAGGGCCAGGCTGGTTCGGGCCTCGAGGCCACGGGCTGATGGGGCTCCTGGGCTCTGTACACTGGGGTCTCCTCCAGGGCGGAGGGGCTGCCCTGCCCGGTGCCCAGCTCCCGTGCTCTGGGTGTCAGACACACATGGGCCGTGGGGGTCCAGGGCACTCACACAAACCGCAAGGGCCACACCCCTCCCCCTTCACGTGAGGACTCACACGGCCAGTGCAGGGGCCTCGCTGGGCTGGCTGAGGTTGTGTCTCCAGAAGGTCTTCCACAGCGTCTCCACCAGCGTGAACTGCAGGTTCACCATGACGTCCACGATGGCCTGTGGGGAGGCGGGCGGGATGCTCGGGGGCAGCGGGCAGTACGGTCCTCCCCTGCCCACGGGCTCCTCCAGCTGCCCTACCTCACAGTGTTCCCGGTACAGGACTTGGAAGGCCTTGATGTCCCCCGGCCCGACGCCCTCGGGCAGGACTTTGCCCTGGAGGTCAAGCTCAGTGAAGTCAGGGAGACTCCGAGAGGCATCTGGGGGGGTGCACATAATGAGGCCTGTGCCCCTGGCCTTCCCGCCTCCCAGCCTTCCCAGGCATCCTACGGGGTTGTCACCAATTCCCCAAAGAGGGGACCCCCACGTACAAAGGATGACAAGGCTCGGGGAGGGCAAGCACCTTGCCCAGGGTCTCAGCCCCCAGAACAGGGGCTCCTGCTGGCCCTGGCTGGTCTGCTCAGGGGCATCCCTGGGTCGGCCCCTGGGACATGGGATTGGACTAGTCAGGACTCCAGGGATGCCACCCAGAGCCCGAGGGCCCTAGTGTGGGGCTGTTCATGGAGATCACTCCAGACACCCCGGCTCTGCGAGGCGGCCTCCCGCCCCTCAGCCCCCACCCCTCTGCGACAGTGTCCCCATCCTCCCCCAGTCCCCCCAGGGAACTGCGTGCCACAGGACATCCTAGAGCTGCGCCACCCAGGCCGGGTGCCTGGGCTGCATGGGTAACAGCCAGAAAGCAGCCACCACATGCCACTGTCACGGAGGCGTGGCAGGCACGCACTAAGCTCTTGGGCTTCCTGGGTGCCATGAGCATCCCTGAGCCGCCTTTAAGGGGCTGGTTTTCTTTATATTTGGACACCTGGGTGCCGCACACCTGCCTCTGCAGAGGCAGCCTGAGCCCCTGAGCACGGCCCTGCCCTGCCGGGAGCTCACCCAGGAACTGCTGGTACTGATGCACCTGGGCGCTGATGTCGGACAGCCCCACGGCCTGCTGCGGCCCCACGGCCACCCCGTTGGTCACGCCCTCCACCTTCTGGATGGGCTTCAGCCTGTGGGAGAGGGGGCAGGTGGGCCCGCTGTGGGGGCGGGCGGCTGGGTGGGGTGGCTTTCCTGGGTCCCCTCCTCTACCTCTGCTTCTGGGAGAAGGGCTGGCCCCGCATGGCCATGTGCTGCTGGTCCTCCATCAGCCGCAGCAGGGGCGAGCTGGCCTTGATGCGCAGGCCGTAGTAGTGGTACTTGGAGTTGCCCCTGGGAGGAAGCCGAGGGTGAGGGCCGGTCCTGGGAGCACCGTGCCAGACTCTGACTCTGGCTCCCCGGGGGCTAAGTGGAGATGTGTGCTGCTGAGCCAGGGCCGACACCCTGGGGACGCACAGGGGACACACAGGGCTGTGGGTACCAGCAGAGGCCCCCACTTGCTGACTGAGGCCTCTTGGGACAGGTCCGGGGTCTGGTTCTCTGCTCACCCCCCCATCCCGACACAGGGCCGCAGGCGCCGGCCAAGTGCTTGCTGACGACTGGTACTAACGACGCGCGATGCCCTAAGCGCACAGGCGCACCCTACCCGCCACGCCCTGGGGAGGGTGGTCCCCACTGCCCCGCGCACAGACGAGGACGCCGAGGCCGGGCACCTCGCCTTGGCTGGTCTTGTGGCTGAGGTGTACCCTCGCAGCCCAAGGACAGCTGGGACAGGAACCCCACCTGGTGCCGAGCCGACGCGTGCGCAGCCCCATGAAGACGGAGCGGATGAGTTTGCCGAAGGAGGCGGCGTTGACGGGCTCCAGCTTCTGCTCCTGGCAGTGCAGCAGGTAGTGGCAGTAGAGGGTGCTGCGGGGCAGGCTCACGCCCTCCGCCGTCTCATAGTTGTCCAGCAGCCACTGGACCTGGGCGGAGGGGCAACGGGGACACCACTGAGGGTTGCCTCCACTTCTTAGGTGGGGCGGCTGAGAGCTCCACATCAGTCCCCGTCCTCCCCCAGTCCCCCCAGGGAGCTGCGCCGCCCAGGCCGGGTGCCACGGGCCACACAGAGCCACTGAGACACAAAGTCACGCTGATGTATGTGGCGGGAGATGAGCTGGCCCCATGGTCATGAGGTGTGACTCCATCTGGAAAGTATCCTCGACAACGCGGCAGAGGAATGGGACACCGGGAGGGAGGTGTGCAGGGGACAGTCAGGGTGCTCTGTGTGGTCCCTTGGTGCAGGGGAGGGACCCAGGGACTCACGTCCCCGCTCGACCGTGGAGCTCCCCCGCAGCCCCAGCGCTGGCGAAGGGTGGCCTCCCCAAACCTAAGCATGTGAGGAAGGGGCGCCCCGGAGAGAGCATCACCCCCAGGTGGTCACAGAATCGACGGGGCAGGTCACAGCCAGCGTTTTAAAAAGTAGACGTGGAAAAAAGGGGGTCAGAAGTCAGGCTGCACCTGTGCCTAAGGGGGACCCGGGGAGCACGCCCGTCATGTGGCGGGCGAGGGGCCCTGTGGGCGGACTTCAGGGACTCCTCACAGCTCCCGGGTGAGGGTGCCTGCCTCTCCCTTCACTACCATCCATCCTCTATTGTCAAGTGACACTCAGAAGAGGTGACCCACTTCTTTGGGCACCACTCTAAGGGCCTCACATGTATCTGCCACGGCCCAGAGAGGCTGAGTAACTTGTGAGAGGTCACACAGTGGGGATTCCATCCCGTGGTGAGCGCACACAGGCACTGCCGTACCAGGTTACTAATGGTGGCCAGCAACCACTGCCAGGGACCAGCTCCAATGCCCACTGCCCACCACCTCTGCCCGGGTACCCACCTCCTGCTGGGCGCTTACCGTTGCTGGCGAGGCACGGGTGGTGTGGGAGTAGGACTGGCTGGCGCTGCCCAGCATGTAGCCGCCTTGGATCACATAGGTGCCTGCGCCGCTGCTGCTGCTGCCGCTGCTGCTGCCGCCGCTGCCACCCCCGCTGCCGCCGCCTCCCCCGCCGCTGCCTGCGCCACCTCCGCTGCCGTTGCTGGCCCCACCCCCGCTGCTGGCGGAGCTGGCCACCACCTGGCTGCCGGACACGTACATGGGCACGGAGCCGCTGCTGGCCACCGCCTGTGAGGTGGCCGGTGAGCTGACCTGGGTGGCCGTGCCTGCGGCCTCGTAGTAGCTGGTGCCCGCCGGCTGCGTGTACAGCGGGGCCTCGGGGTAGGCGTAGGTGCTGGAGCGGCTGGGAGAGGCAGAGGGGGTGGGCGTGAGGGCCAGGGCGGGGAGAGCTGGGTGGCCGAGGGGCACGGTCCTGTGGGAGGGGAGGAGGTCCCAGAAGGGGGCCAGGGACGCAGCAGTCCCCAGCGCAGCCCCTTCCCTCCTACTGACGGCAGCGTCCTCGGGCCTGATGGGCAGGTTCTCACGGAACCATCTGGGCAGCCCTCAGTGCCAGGGTCACCCCCCACTCGGAAAGCGAGGAAGCTGAGCTAGATGGGCTGGGTCACCTGTGACACACGGCCCCTGACCAAGAAATATCTGAAGAAACAAAACGAAATTTGCAACCTTGGGCTGGTTCCCGGCATGTTGATATACATGCAGTGAGCGCCTACTGTATGCCGGGGACTGTACCAGCAACGCCCTCGGGTCAGTTCCCGCGGGCAGGGCCAGGGAGGTGAGAGGAGGAGGTTGGTAGGAGGCGGGGCGGCTCCGTCACCCCAGGTGAGTGGTCTGCTCAGTGGACACCAGGGTCCAGCTCTTGATCACCGAGGCCCACGTCTACCTCAGAGTAATGCCAGGAGCATGTGCCTCCTCCCCAGGGCCACGGCTCAGCCAAGGGCCCCACAGGCAACACATGCTCCAGAAATGCTGTGCGGGGCTGGGCAGGCAGCTCAGCGCGGGTGCAGAGCGGCTCTAGACCGTGGGCACCCCGGGCTCCATCCATGGGCACCCAGGGCTCCAGGACCACACGCACACAGCGCTGCGCTGGTAGATATTTGCTAAATGAACAGATAAATTAATGTCCAAAGCCAGGGATGGAAGCCCAGAGGCCGCGGCTGTGCCAGCGTGGAGATCCAGGCTGGCAGAGGGCTGGGAACCTGGTGACAGTCTGCCAGGAGGGACAGACAAAAGACACACCCAAAGCAAGAACTTCATGTGGCAGAAGAATGCGACAGTGGCCGTGAGCTCCGTGGGGAGGGAGAAGTCCAGGCAGAAGCCAAGGAAAGTGCCCCCAGAAGGAGCCAGGCCAGGCGCAGGGCCCACTCTGCGGCTAACAGCGAGGCGGGCCTGGGGGCAGCCCTCCTCCTGGGAACGGCCCCCCCTGGCCCCGGCCGCTGGGGTCAGCTGCACATGAAGACAGTTAGCAGCACCGGAAACAAACTGATGGCAAAGCAGGTGCCAGGACCACACTCCTCAGGGTCAGTTAGAGCGTCATGACCCAAGGACAGAGTCACTCTCTGAGCTAATGCAATCCCAGCACGGTGCCCGCAAGGACAGGTGGCAAGGACGAAAGAAAAAATCAGACGAATGCAAAGAAAACCAAATGGAAATTCTAGAAACTGAAACAGCAGCAGCAATCTAGTCGGCATTACTGCTTGGAGGATGGGAGAGGGAGAGGCCGGAGAGGGCCTCCATCAGGAGTCGGCCCCCGGAGGCTGCTCTGGGACACGACACTGGCCCCTGTGCAGTACCTGGCAGAGACACCTGTGTATCAGCTGCATGGGGACCAGGGACACCTGTACAGAGGAGTGCTGGGCAGTGTTGAAGAAGCCAAGAGGGACCCATGTGCACAAATGGGGGGAGCCAGGGGAGGGCCAAGGACAGGCTGGGGGAAGAAGTGAGAGACAGAACCGGCCTCCATTTCTGAAGAAAGGAAGGAACAGTTTCTATTCTTGGAGAATCTCTGGGAGGAACAAAGAAACAGGTCACCCTGGGGCAGGGGGGGGCGGCCAGGATTCAAGTCACCTCTTCACTGTTAATGTCCCTAACACACAGAAACTTTCTATCTTGTAAAAATGTGCGTGTGCACACGTGTATATATAGGCACTTTTTTTTTTTTTTACCTCTAAAAGCCAGGCCGGTTGAGGCCCAAAGCCCTACGCTTGCTAGGATGCCAGGTTCCCTCTGCTCTGGCATGCCTGGGGGCCGCTGGCTGCCCCTGGGTAGTACCCACCTAACTGTCACCTGAGGCCTGGAGTCCTGAGCAGACCTACGCCCCTGCCCTGCCCTCCGTGTGCCCCCGCCCACTTACATGGCGCTGGCTGCGTAGCTGGCGTCGCCGCCCTCCACGTACTGGACCTGGCTGGAGTACACATGCGGCACCGGGACCTGCTGGAGCTGCTGCACCTGGGCAGGAGGAAGGCGGCAGGGTCAGCGGGTGGCTCCGGCCTCCGCCTTGTGGAGCTGGTGGTTCTCAAGCTCTCCCTGAGGCCAGGTCACTGACTAGGAGGTGCACATCTGGGTTCTCTAAACACCACACCCTGATGGGGGCCGAGGTCAGAGGCTCAGGGGCTACAGCCTCAGCTGGGGCTGGGAATCAGGAAGAGCTGTATCAGGAGGACCGCCAAGACACTCTGCTTCTGCTGGAGACGGCAAGGGTGGGGCCTGCTGATGGGCAACAGGGGAGCCCAGGCAGGTCAGACAGTGGGCCAGAAGGGTAGGCCTTAGGGCTGGGCCAAGAATGGGGACAAGGTGTAGTTAAAGCCAGAGCTTGGACTACACATGGCCCCAGGGGCGGGGCCTGTTAGCCCAGCACAGGATGTTAGGGGCGGAGCCTGGGGCCAATTTTGTGACAGAACCCTCAAACGACTTGAGCGCCATAGGGGCGGGGCTTCAGTATCCCACCTCCACCCCCACCCTGATCTGCAGGGACGGAGCCTAGGACCTGGAACCCGCTGTGGGATGTTGGAGGCGGGCCCTTAGACCGACCTGCAGGGCGGAGGTGGGGTCTACAGGGCTTGAGGGGCCTGGTGGGCAGCCGGGGTATGCCCCCGCCCCCCATTGCCCCCCGCCCGTGCGTCCACCACCTACTTTGAGGGCCGTGGCGGCCGTGCTGAACACTAGCACCTGGGGGATTCTCTGGATCCTGACCCTCTGGTCGGGGCTGGCTCGGGCTGAGAGCCCGGGCAGGGGCTCGAGGACCACTTTCTGCTGCGGCAGGAGCAGGTGCGGGGGCAGCACGCCCACCAGCTCCACCCACTGCTCGACGCCTGGCTCGTAATGGGTCAGCTGCGGCTCGGGGCTGCCTAGCTGCGGGGCCTCGCCGCTGCACACCGATGGGAGCGGCGGCGGCTCCGGGGCCAGCGCGCCTGGCCGGAGCCCGGGCGTGGGCGGCCGGGGTGGCGGCTCTGGCTGCGGCGTGGGCCGGGGCTCTCGCTGCTCTGCCTTCCTAGCGGGAAACTGACTGTCTGAGCTCTGGAGGACAAACAGAGATACTGGGGCGTCACTGGGTCCTCGCTGCCCACCAGGCTGCAATGCGACGGTCCCGCCCAGTGCCTCAGGGAGGAGAGGGGGAAGGGACCCAGGCTAGAAAGAAGCGGCATTTGAATCCAGGTCTCTCTTAGCAAAACTTGGGCATGAGGTGCCCGAAAAGGGGGCTGATTCAGGGCGGATCCGCAGCCCACAGACAGGGGTGCAGCCTGGAGCCAGACCTGGAGCCCTCTGTCCTTGAGGACCCCAGGAGGTTCCATTCCCCCCCTTCGGGGCAGGGACCTGCGTTCCCATCCCTCACTGGAGACCAGCCCCACTTTGCCCCCGGTAGATGGGAGGACACCTACCTCTTGAGCCACGTGGACTGGCTGAAGTCCCTGCACGGTCAACTGTTGCACGGGGCCTGCTTTGGGTGCCTGCGGGGTGGCCTGGACCACAGACCTCTGGGAAAGGAAGGGAAAGAGAAGACAAGTGAGGCCGCGGTTACCATGGCCACGACGGCGGCTAGAGAAGTCCCGTCCTCTATACCGTGAACCTACCTAAACTTCACCACAGCCACCTAAGGAAAAAACGCGCCATTCTCCAGCCAAAGAAAAGCAACTCTGTTGCCGGGCCCAGCACCAAGGGCGTCCGGGCTCACCACTGCCTTGCCTCTGGGCATCCAGTTACAGGCACAGGAAACAAGGCCCAGCCGGGTAAGACTGCCAGGAGGTGGCATGGGCAGGCATTGGACCTGGGACCAAGGCAGTGGGGGGGTCTCTACTCTTCTCCCCTCTCTGCAGGTCCTTCAGGAGTGCACAGACCTGGCTTATCTTTGGTGCCCTCACTTCAGTAAGGACATAGTAAGCTGTCCTTACTAGGGAACAGTGGCTGGGGAGGGGGGGCTGGTGCTAAGTGCTGGGGCTGGGACTTGAACCCAGGTCTGGAGATTTAGAGGGGCTCTGGCACTGGGCAGGAAAAAAATCTGTGAATCCTCTAGATGGGGTTTCCGATTTTCTCTGGGAACTTATGGCTTCCATTTGTGTGTGTGTGTGTGTGTGTGTGTTTTTTTTTTTTTTTCCTGGTTTGGTTTTGTTTTGCTTTGCTTTTAAGAGACAGGATCTCCCTATGTTGCCCAGGCTGGCCTTGAACCCCTGGGATCAAATGAGCTCCTGCCTCAACCTTCTAAGCATCATATACAGGTAAACACCATTGTGCCCAGCTTCATCTGATTTATGAGGGGCCAGGAACCCCCGAGTTGAACAATCACAACAGACAGCAGATGACTCTTGCCCCTTAACCTCCCCCGCTGCTGTGGCTGTAGCTCAGAGCTCAGTCTCCCCTGGAAGGCTTGGATCTGGAAACTAGGGCCTCTGCCTGAGACCTGTGAATGCACCGTGACTTGGCCTCAGGACCTCCTCTGGGCAAACGGATCCCCATAGGCCAAAGTGGACTGTTAAAGCTGGTCTGAGGCTGCCCCGCCCACGGCGCCTTCTGCAGGGTCTGCATTCCACCCTCAGCGCAGCCCCCCACCCCAGGACACTGCGTCTGGAGAGGTGGAGGTGCTAGTCGGAGACTCCGATTGCAGCTGGGGCTGGAGCCCTGCGTGTTTGGCTCTAACAGGCCAGAGGCACAGCCATGGGTGGCTGCAGAGGCCAGCTGGCTGCGACCCCTTGCCCTGGCTGCTGCCCGCTTTGGCCAGGCACCTCTTGGGTGACGGAGACACTCTGCTGGACACCATGAACCTGCAGCTGCTGGGGCACTGTGCCCGTGGGGGCCCCAGCTGTCTTGCTGGCGGAGCTATTGGCTTGCACCGGCGACCGCTGCAAGGGAAGGAGACACGGTGATGTCAGGTTGGGCTCTGGGCATCTCTGGGAAACCTGGGCCCCAACCCCCTTCTCAGGAGGGCTCTGTGGAGAGGGCAGCAGGTGGTGGTGTCGTGTCCCACCACCTGCGCTGACCACAGGCTGTACTCGTGCATCCAGATGCTCCGGCCTGCGTCAGTCCTGGTCACCCCCAGGAGAGGGTTCAGCTCAGAGGTGCTGGTTGAGGCCCATCCTCCCTAGGGAAGATGGCTGGGCCCCCAGCCATGGTCAGGGGCCACCTGCTCTCTCCAGAAGAGCTGTAGCCCTGACCCGACAGAGTTTATGGGCTGGGAAAGTCTGGCTGGGCCATGGAAGCCACCCACTAAATCAGCCCTCTGAGGCTCTCCTGAGGCCAATTCTCAAAAGTCACAGTAATGACAGTAGCAGCTACAGACAATGTGCTGATTCCCACCAGGTGCTGCTCTGAGCGCTTTATGTTTACTCACCAGGATCCCACAGCATCCCTGCTTCCTAGTGGAGGCAGAGGGGGAAGGACAGGCCCAGGGCCACACAGGTGGGTTGGCTACAAAGCCCGTTTGCTCTGCGCCAGGCTTGGGCTGTCATTCCCACAGCAGCTGACGGGCAGTGGACAGCTCTTCCCTTGCCACCGAGTACTAGGGATTGAACCCAGGAGCCTCTACCCCTGAGCTACACCCTCAGCCCTTTCTGTTTTTTATTTTGAGACAGGGCCTCACTAAGTTGCTGAGTCTGGCCTTGAACTTGAGATCCTCCTGTCTGTCTCCCAGTCGCTGGAATTACAGGTGTGCCCCCTCATGCCTGGCTGCTCTTCTCTCATACACAGACAGCCCTGGGCTCCCGAGGCTCAAAGCCCTGCCTAGAGGCCCAGCAGCAGCAACAGCTGAGACAGGCCCTGGCCCCAAGCCCCTGATGCTGGGGCCGTGCTCCAGGCCTCCTGACTGTCCCCAGCCCTCACTGATGTGTGTGGTCCCCAGAATCCACCACGTGGTTCCAAACTCTCAGAAGGGGTTCCACCCACCCTGCAGATGGAAAAGGAAGCCACTGTTGTGTCCTGTGATGCCATCCCCTGAGCAGGACCTGCAGAGGCCACCTCAACCCCGGGAGGCCACCCCTCCTCCTACAGCCAGACCCCATGGCAACTCAGCCCAGAGCCACGGGGCCAGCGAAGGAGTGGGGAGGGCAGAGGAAGGAGCAGGCTCACAGCAAGGGAACCTCAAGTGTCCTATGGGGGCACAGGGCCAAAGCAGGGAGACAGGACAGGGCAGAGTCCTAAGGGGCTACCACCTACCTCAGGAGGCGAGTGCACCTGCTGGGTACCGTGGACTGTCAGGGACACCTGGCCACCCTTGCTGCCTGGCGCTGTGCTCTGCACCACCAGACGCTGTGTGGGGAGAGCCTGGAGCCGGGGGAAAGAGGGAAGCCCATCACCCTTGACAGCCTGGGGCTCTCCTGAGCACCTGAGAGGTGCCAGGTGGTGGCGTAAGTGCTCTCTGCCTCTCAGCCCATGGACTCACTGACAGCCCCAACACAGCAGTCATTGCCCCACTTCAAGGGGGTGACACTGAGGTTCAGGAAGGTTCGAGTGCTCATCTGAGGTCGCAGATCCAGGAAGTGGCAGTGTAGAGTGTGGACCCGAGGCCCAGCTGAGCCCATGCCAAGTGTGATCTCATCCTTAAGCTCCGATAGTACCGGAGTGCGGGCGCGGAGGTCGGGTGCGGCTCAGGGCTAGAGCGCTTGCCCAGCATGTTTAAGGCCCTGAGTCCATCCCCAGGACCTCACGCACATACATATCCAATACAATTTGTCCAATTTTATGTTGATCAATTGGAAATGGGGGTGAGCCCTGGCATCCCAAATGTGGCCTTCCGGAGGACAGACGCCCTCCCCTGCTGCCCTGGGCTCCTGACTTCCACAGCCTTGGGCTTTCTGCTTTAGGACGCTGCGGCTGGCCCCTGCTGGCCCGCTACCCTTCCCCACTAACCCTCACTGCTCTAGAGATGGCCAGGCACTGCTCCCTGATGGCCCCTACCCTGGGGACCCCACCACCCAGAGCCAGGAGGTGGGGAAGCCTCAGGATGGGGCCGGTGTCCTCAATCCTGGCAAGGACTGGGCCAAGCAGGCCACAGGGGCTGGTTTCCCACCCCGGGGGCGGCTAACGGTGGGAGGCTTACCTGCTGGGCCACCTGGATATTGGTGAGCTGGAGGGGTGACACGTGGCCCGGCTTGGCCTGCACACTGGTCTGCACCAGCAAGCGCTGGGGGTCAAAGTGTGAGGAGCTGAGCCGCCCAGCTCCCTGGGAGGCCCAGCGCTGTGGGGGGGCGGCTGACATGCACATCCCTGGGGGGCTGACATGCACATGGGGGGCGGCTGACGTGCCCATCTTGATAAGAGCAGTGAGCAGATGTCCTGATGGACGGAAGGCAAGGCCCCAGAGAACCCAACCTGCACTGTCCCCTTGCAGGCCTGTCCCCCATCCTACCTGCTGGGTGCCCTGCACCTGCTGAACCACCTGAGTGGGGACGCCGGTCTGGCTGGCTGTGGAGCCCGGGCTGGCTTCCGACACCGTCTCGCTGGCTCGCATGGCACCCTCTGTGGGGGAGGGGGCACCAGGTCAACTCTGCGCCCACAGGGAGCCTCAGCCCCCCGGAGGGCAGGACGCAAGCTGGAGCCCAGCCCACAAGGCCTGCCGCTCCCCTGGCCAGCCCTGGCAGTGCCCTTCCGGGGTGGGGTGGGCGCTAGACAGCACCCAGGGACCTCTAACACCTGGAAGCCACCCTTGACCCTTCTTATCCAGAAGCGGAACCAAACAGGGTGCTGGGGCCACCAGGCCACAGGAGTCGAGGCTGGCCCTGTTCCCCAAAGGCAGGACCCGGGCAGAGAGTAAACTGACCACCCTTCTCCTGGCAGTTCTAGGAGGACCAAGTGCTGGCCCACCTTCCCCAGCACGATCCCGGCTTCCCAGGAGACAGCTGGCCACAGTAGGGGCCACAGCCAGGGGCTCCGCCCAGCCTCGCTGACCTCGAGGGGCAGGAGGGGTGCAAAGGGCTTGGAGCTGGATGAAGGGTACTCACGCTGACAGGCAGCTAAGAAGAGGCAATCATAGAACATGGTGCCCGCCTGCCCGCTCCCTGCCCCCTGCCTGTCTGTCCAGGGCCGCCCGCTGGCCCTCCCTCCCGGCCTGCCTCTGTAGGAACAGCAGGGCGCACAGGCAGCTTTATACCCACAACCTTGGCGAGCTAATCCCCCGAGGGACGCAGGCTCCCGTGTGCCCTCTTGGGTACACTCCCCTCCCCGTGGGCTGCCTGAGAAGGGCCTTTGCGGGGCGGGGGCAGGTCGGGGCAGGAGGGAGGCTGGTACCCGGAGATGCTATCAGGCAAGCGCAGGTCGGATTTCATGCACATCTTGCTGAGTGATTAACAGGGGCCACAGGGGGGCAGGGAGGAACAGCGTCCCTGAGGGGCCCTGGCCAGGAGACCCTCACCTGTGCTGCCCGTCTCTGTGGCCCGGCCTGCCCCCAGCAGCCCCAGAGGCCGAAATGATATGGGGGAGGACGCATGGATGCCAGAAGGAGTCAGGCCCCAGCCCCCCTTCCTAGGGGACTCGCCTGGGGAGTCAGAGAGGCCACCCATCCCCCACGACACGAGAGGGCCACAGTCGAGGGAGCAGCGTCCTCGGCCTCAGACACTCAGGCTGCTGCCGTGGAGGTGATGCCCGGCTCCCGGGGCAGCTGGGGCCCAGCGCTCTCCCCACTGTTCTCAGAGAGGGAAGTGGCCTGCTCAAGGTCACCAGCTGGGGACCAGCAGGCCAGGACACAGGCCTCTCTGTGCCCACAGGAACTTCACACCGTATGCAGAACCCAGAGTCGCTGGTTCTGCTGGGCCGAGGCGCCGGGGGTGGTGGTGTGCGGACGCGGACCGGGGGCTCGGCGAGCTGGGAACCCACGGGACACCTCAGGTGCAGGGCATCCCAGGGTGGGGCAGGTGGGGCTCATGCTCCAAAGTGGGGGGCTGGTCCTCAGCTGTGGGGAACAAAAGAGAATGTCCCAGCAGAGCAGGAAGGCCCTCTGCGCGGACTCAAGGACCCCAAGGCCAAGGCCACGGCAGAGAACACGAGTGTGTGAGTGGGGGGCGAAGGCTGCCAGATGTTGGGGGAGCCTCCCTGTGGCTACACGTGGGGCTGGCATTGGGACAGTCCCAACCCTGCGGGGACAGCTGCCTGGGCAGCCAAGTCCAGGTGGCTCGGACGGCTGTTTTGCTGGAACCTTCCTCACGTCTGCGTTCGTTTCCCTGCGCTGTGCAGGAGGCTTCCCTGAGCGGCCCCTTGGGAGAAACCCGAGCCGGCCCTGAGTCACGTGAAGGGCCTGGCACACCTGGGATGTCCATGGGGCACAGGGAGCCAGCCCAGCACAAGAGAGGTGCCACGGCGCGTTGCCTGGCTCAGTGTGGGCAGCAAAGCGGGTGCTGGGCATGGGGCTGATCCTGGAGCAGGACCCTGTGTGTCTGGAGACCTGAGACCTGCTGAGATCATCGGGCATGTGTCCCAGGAAGCAGTCCTGCCTGTGTCCTGCGTCTGGGGTGGCCCTTAGGGCTGGGACGCTGGGATCCTCCCCCACCCTCTGCTGGCCAGGCCAGCAGGCACGATGGGCTGCGCAGGAATGTGGGCGGGTGAGTCTGCTCCTCAGCTGAGGGGCTCCCTGTGTGCAGTCCCTGTCCACCTGTGGCCAGGGCTCAGCCTCTGCCTCAGTCTCTCCCTCACTATGTGTGGGGGAGGGGAGCCAGGAGGGGAAGGGGGCTGGGGGACATCGAGTCTGTGACCTCCATTCCAGGCATGTTTAGGAGGCCGGGGAGGCCCCTGCTGTCTCAAGCCGGGAAGCACCGTTGGTTTCCTGTCTCTGAGCCGAGGAGGGGCTGCCCCTCCCCAGGCCGGCGCCTCCCCGTGCAGCCCTCCTCCCTCCTCACCTGTTGGAGGGAGCAGTGAGCTCCTGGGCAGACCAGACACATCCAGAGGCCGGGGGTCAGGCTGGACCCCTGGTGCCCCTGCTGGCCCAGCCCCCCTTCCCCACGAGCACCAAAGCCAGCTGGCCCCGTCCCTCCTGTTCCTTGGCTCCGGGGAATGACTTCCCACAGGGGCCTGGGGTGTGTCCTGTCTGTCTGCCCATCTGTACTCGGGGATGCGGACAAGCACCCTCCATTCCCGTTCTGGACGTGCCTTCTTGGACTCCAAGGAAGGCCAGTGGGAGAGCAGAGGAGGGAGGCTGGCCTGGTCCCTCCCTGAGGCCGCCCGTCTCTACTTCAGGCCGCCTGGCACCACCCTCCTGCCAGCGTCCAGGGCCCATAGCATCCTGCTTCCACCTCAGGGCTTGGCTTGGTTTGGGCCCTGGGGACTGAACCACTGAGCTGCCTTCCCGGGACGTTTTATTTTTTGACACAGGGTCTTGCTAAGTTGCTGAGGGTCTCACAAAGCTGCAGAGGCTGGTCTTGAACTTGTGATCCTCCTGCCTCAGCCTCCTGCGTAGCTGGGCTGCAGGCGTGCGCCACGGCACCCGCCTCAGGTTTTGGGTGATGTCTGTGGTGGCTGAGGAGGGGATTATGGCCAGGGTTGCTCCAGACCAGGGAAACTCGAGCTTCCTGCCCTCACCTCCAGAGTCACCTCAGAGCAGAGCACGCCAGGCCCAGCTGGACAAGCTGCCTCTGGCCTGCATCCGGGCCTGGCCCGGGACCTCCGCACCCCGCCCGCATGGACTCCCGGGTTCCTGGGCAGCTCCACTGCTCCTGGCTCCAGAGCAGCCCGGCGCTTCCCACAGCCTTCGCTGGTGTCAGCTTCCACTCCTGCCCAGGGGCCGGCTCACGTGCCCAGGCCACTCTGAGATGAGACGGGATGCTAAGCTGGTGAGGGGGAGTGGCTGAGGGCCGGGTGCCAGCCAACTCCTCTTCCTCAGAACAAATGGAGGAAGCTTTGCCCAGCGACCTAGCCGGGGCAGGCTCACCCCGCGGGAACCTGGACCCGCAGGAAACGAGAGTCCCCACTCACGGCCCGACCCAAGGAGGCTGGGGGCCTGGCACGGAGGCTGGTTCCCTGCTCTCTGCCCTTGCGGGTACGCAGCACCCAGAGCATGCCACCTCCCCCAGCCTTCTCCTGGGTCTGTCTGACTGGAAGACCTCATGGTGACCTTGACCTTGAGGGACTGGGGCCTCCCTGGAGGACTGCCAAGAAAAGCTGGACACACTGAGGCTGAGGGGAAGGACGACGGGTGTTCTGGGGCCCGAGGCCACAGGCCTCCTCCCGACCCTCACCCCGGAGAGCCCAACTGCCCGGAAGGACCCTCATCCAGGAGGAGGACCAAGGCCAGCCAGGGGCCCCAAGGGCTGGGCAGAGCTCCAGCGGAGTCAGTGGTCTCCTGCCTGCTCTTGGCCACCGGGGGCCACGCCAGGTGTCCAGCTCTCCACTGCTGTAGGTCAGGCCACACTCCCCCGTCCTTCACAAAGACTTCAGGACTAGACCCTGCCCTCAGGGACGTCAGGAAAGTCAGCCTCACCACGGTCCTGGCACTTCCAAGGGTGAGAGTGCAAGAGGGAGGTGGAGTGGGGAGGGGCGGGGCTTCCACCCAGTGACCTGAAGGAGGCCGCAGGCCAAGGTCTGGGCCGAGTGGTGCAGGGGGAGGCGCCGCCAGGCCCAGGCCAGGAGGCAGGACTGAGCCTACGGGTCTGCAGAGCTACAGGGGCCGGTGGGCCAGGCAGGTGTGCCAGGAACAGGCGGCAACAGGCGGGGTGGGGACTGGCAAGCCAGGCAGTGGGCTTGGCCTCCACTAGTGAGAGCGCGGGGCGCGTGGAGCTGTTAAAGTCCTTTGGAGGGGCGGATTTGGAGGACCAGGGGTCAGCTCTCCAAGGGCACCTGGCCAGACGCGTGGTGCACAGCTGTGATCCCAGCCGCTCAGGAGGCTGAGGCAGGAGGGTCTTGAGTTCAAAGCCAGCCTCAGCAACTCAGCGAAGCCCTAAGCAGCTCAGGGAGACCCTGTCTCTGAGTTGGGAGAGACGGACACCAAGCCCTCTCCCGGCCCCCAGACCAGCCCCGCTGCCAGCGTTCCCGGGAGAACGACCCGGGTGGGCGCAACGGGCTCGTGGGAGACGACAGCCCGAAGCTGAGCGCAGAGCAAGTGAGAGAAAATGGAAGCAAAAGCCAGAAAGAGCTGGAGACAAACCCGAGCCCTATGGACACCACGGCCCAAGTTCCCGCTCATCTCCTCCAAGGCCACAAGGGTGGCCACACTCAGGAGCTGGCCGGACCCACACCCTGGCTCAGCCCTGGTCCTGCTCCTCCAGGGGGCAAGGTGACACTGCAGGCTCCCGCCAGTCTCCCCCAAGGAAGGACCTGCTCTGGGCCAGCCCCACTGAGAGCACCCTGAGAATGAGAAGCCACGACGTCCCCTTCACAGATGAGGCGACCCAGGCAGAGCGGTCAGGGGCTGGCTTCCCCCAGGAGTTCGAGGCCAGTTCCGCCCCCAGTGCCTCCTGACCCCAGAGCTAGGTGCTCGGGCCCAGGCGCCCCTCCCACAGTCACTCCCGAGCGCCCTGGCTCAGGTGCACATGCAGACTTACCAGAGACGGTGACCACGATGTACTGCTGGGACGCAGGGGACGGGGTGGGCGCGCCAGCTTGCTGCGAGGGCGTGGGGGCAGCCGGGAGCTCCGTCACGTACTGCTTCTGGCTGCCCGGTGGCTGCGCCTGGGGCTGGGGGCTTTGCAGCTCGGTGACATACTGGGGCTGGGGGGTGGCCGAGGCGGTGGGTGTCTGGGGGGGCTGGGGCGCGGCTGGGGGTGGTGGTGGTGGTGGCTGGGGCTGGGCCTGCGGTGGCTGGGATGCTTGCGGGGCTGCCTGTAGCTCCGTAACGTACGCCTGGGTTGCCATGCCAACAGTGGGGAAATGAGAATAAATAAGGCTTTTTTTTTTTCCTCTTCCTTGGGAAGAAAGAAGGAGGGGAAGAGAGAGGGGGAAAAAAGAAGGAAAAACAAGAATTAATCCACAGCAGGGACAGCTCCTGGCTCCCCAGAGATGCACTGGGCTCGTCCCTAACTTAATTAAATCCTGAGGCTGGCGGCCAGATACACCGGACCATGACTGCGGGCAGACTGGGCACGCACAGAGGCTGGACCCCATCTGTTTCTCCACTCCCCTGGCCAGGACTCCTGCTCTCCAGCCCCTGGTGCCTGGGGGACCCCACGTGTCCACTTCAGGTCCTGCTCCCCTACGCCACGGAGAAGAGACCCATCTGGTGGCCCTGTGCTCTTGCTCAGTTCTCACTGGGGAGGACCAGCAAGTCCAGTGGCCGCCCCTTCCCCTTTCTTCTTCCCCTTGGTCTGGGCATCTTTTAGGGCCTCCTGCCAGCTGGACGCTGCTGGGAGCTTCCCTTATGTTGTTTCACTTTGAACACTATGACTGGGTTGAGGTTCAATCTGCTAGATGAATTGCTGAGGTTCAGAGAGGGGAAGGCACTTGCCCTGGGCCACACAGCAGGGGTGACAGAGCTGAGTTTGAAGCAGAGCATTCTGGGCACTGACTAGTCAGCATATGGCTGGAAAGGTAAGTCAAGGGGCAAGCTGCCTCTGGGGCTGCCGGTGCCAACCCTGTGTGCCCGCCATCTGGACTGGGATTCTCGGCTGAGTCTCATTCCCAGTTTGGTGCCAGACATGGGAAGGTGTTTGAGTCCCAAATGAGCCCCTTGAGCTGCTTGTGGCCACAGAGGCCTTAGGGTCCTGTGCCCAGGGGCTGTTATGGATCTCACGTTGGGTGCAAGTGCCCTTCTGAGGCTGGGGGCAGCTGGGCCAGGAGCGGGCAGAGCAGCCGCACTGCCCTTGGCGGGGCAAGCTGGCTGGGCAGCAGAGGCCGCTCTTCTGGCTGCTCGAGGTCAGGGTCCCTTCTCGGGTGCTGGGCAGGCCCGCCCCTCTCCTGCTCAGCCCCACCTCAGTAGGGAAAGCCAGATGGTTTGGGTCCCCCTCTTCAGTTCTGAGCATTTGAGGGACAGCAAACTGAACGGTCAAAAGGAGAAGCCGTGCACCCTGAGGCCCTGCCTGGAGTCTGCGAACTCCACGTGGGGCTCATGGTGACCTGGGATCACATGGCTCTTCTGAGTGGCCTCTAGCACCTGTGTGCCGTGCAGCATCAGTAGGTGGCCCTCCAGCTGCAGGGTGACCCAGGGTGGGATGTCCCAGGGGAAAGAACAAGTAAAACAAGAGCCGCTGCTTACTGTCCTGGAGCCCAGGCCGCGGGCTGGGGGCACGCCTGGCTGGCAGCCCTGGGAGGGGAGGACGGAGCGAGGCGGGTGACCAGGCCCCTCTGAGCCCCAAGGTGCTCTCACTCCCAGCCCCGCTCAGCACACAGGTGTGGGGCGCCTCTCCCCACCCACCGCTGCCGCCTCCTCCTCCCCAGACACCAGAGCACCACCCCCGGCCATGCACCGGCAGGAGCAGAGGAACCAGGGCCAGCCAGGCAGCCCTTGCTCTTCCTGTATCCCTGTCCCTCCCTGTCCCTCCCTGTCCCGGGACCGCAGTTCTGCACATGCCAGACTTAAGAAGCGTCCAAGGAGGCCGGAGAACCAAGCCCCCGCACCAAGCCCCGCACCAAGCCCCGCACCGGGCGAAGGCGCAGCTGGAAGTCGGCCCCCTCCTGGCTGCATGGCTCTGGGGAAAGGCCCCGCTGCCCCATCTGTGAAATGGGAGGACAGCGGGCCTGACACCGTGGGCCTTACTGCAAAGGCCAGTCCCCGTCGTGTGGGCAACAGCTGGCCAAGTGTCTGGCACGCCAGGTGTGCCGGGGGAGGCGGGGGTGGCTGGGCACGCAGCTCAGTGGTCCAGGCTTACCTGGCCGTGCTGGGCCCTGGCTTCTGTCAGGAGGGCAGGGAGGGAGGGAGAGAGGGAGGGAAGGAGAGAGGGAGGGAGGGAGGGAGGGAGGGAGAGAGAGAGAGGGAGGGTGGGAGGAAGGGAGAGAGGGAGGGAGTGAGGGTGGGAGAGAGAGAGGGGGAGAGAGGGAGGGAGGGAAAGGCTTGGGAACTGGCTCTGCTGCCCAGGGCCCTGTCTGGTCTCTGCTGCTGGGGATGTGCTCTAACTTTCCTTTTTCATTTAATTAGGACACAGGTTGGCCTTGAACTCGCAATCCTCTTGCCTCAGCCTCCATAACACAGCTGGGGTTACAGGTGGCTCCACGGCCCAGGGCCCTTTATCAGGCTCCAGAAAGACAGGAACCCTCCAGCCCTCCCTCCCTAAAGCGGCCAGAGCCTCTGCCTGCCCCTGGGTGTGCCCGCTGGGATGGTGGGGGGCAGAGGACCCTAGGCCACGGTGGCAGAACCCTGGACTGCCTTGGGCTCTCCTGCCCAGCAGGGCAAAGGGCAGCCAGCACCCCACCCCCCCACCCTCCCAGGGCCCCGGAGCAGGGAAACTTGCCCACCTGCAGAGGACCCTCGACTCCTCCCTCCAGTGCTAAGTGGCGCGCCTGTTGGGACTCCTCACACTGCGGGGTCCAAATCTGCCCAGTAGCCCAGGAGGCCCTTCTGCCTGGTGTCACCCACCCTGATGTGAGCCCTGGAGCAGTCTCAACTCAAACTGAACTCAACTCCCAACGTGTCACTAACATTCTTCTGGAACTCAGTGTGTCCATCTGTCACCTGGGGATGACGAGAATGCCTGATTCCTGTGCCGCAGTAAAGATCCACTGAGACCAGTTCGCCCCCCAGTGAGCGCAGGTCAGGACAGACGCTGCCCAGGCCTGGTGGGGACAGAGGTAGGAGGAGGTGGAGACAGTCCTTGAGGTCTTGGAAGGAGGCCCAGGGGGTGATGCAGCTTCGACATGCACCCGTACCCTCTGGGGAGCTGGTTAAGATGCAGACTCCCGGGCCCCCCTGCCCAGCCTGAGATGGCTGGGGTCGGTGTTAGCTGGCCAGAGGGTTCCAGGGCAAGTGGTCCTGGAGTCACCCTTACCCTGGTCTAGGCTTCGCAGTCCTAGGAGAGCTGGCACACTCCCAGAGGAAAGAGCTTTAAAAGCTCCACACCAATGGGACCTTCCTCCTCCTGAGGACATGCAGGCCTCAGCCCTGGGGAGGCACCGTTGGGGCGGGAGCCTGTGTTCCCTACAGAGTCATACCCATCTCCATGGCAGTGGCACCCCCCGTACATGTGAGCATTCTTTATGACACCTGGCCATAGAACACCAGAACGGCTAAACCACCTGTTCCCGGGCAATGAATCTGCCAAGAAAAGCACTAGTGGCTGCACCTTGCTTCAAAACTAACGGCTGATTTTTGGAGAGCATCTGGACAATTCCTTTAGATCACAGGTTGGCCAACTTCCATAAAGGGCCAGACAGTGAATATTTTCACTTCTGTAGGCAGACAGCATCTGTTGCCAACTACTCAACTCTGCCACTCTGGGCGAAAGCACCCGTAAACAGTAAGGAAACAAATGAGCAGGCTGTGTGCCAATAAAACTTTATTTCTAGCTCTGAGATTTAAATTTCATATGATTTTCATGTCATGAAATATGATTCTTTTCAGAAAATATTCTTCTTTTGATCTTTCCCAGTCATTTAAAAATGTAAAACTGAATCCCCAGCACCACAAAATAAATAAATAAATAAAATTTTTAAAAGTAATAAATAAAAAATTTTAAATGTAAACATCAATCTTAGCTCATGAGCCATAGGAAACCAGGCACCAGGTCATGGTGGGCCGAGCCCCATTACAGATACTGACTCTGAAACCAAGTGGCAAGCACCAAGGTCACCTCTACAGAACGGCTTCAACAATGAATCCGCAGAGGATGGCACGATAAATGTAATGACGCACGTCTTCTTGTCCCCTCTAATTAGTTCATTGTCAGTCATCTCCCATCCTAAGGCTGGGTGTTTCTCCTGACACCGGTCCACACTAGAGTCGCTGTCATCTTCTGACTGGACCCTGAAATTCCTGTCCTTGCTCTTGCCTCTACAGTGCACAGGATCCCTTGAAAGCACAGGTCCTATTACATCATGCTTCTGCTCAAAAGCTGCCAAAGCTCCAAGTCATCGGGAACAGATAAAATTCAGAGTCCTTCCTATGGTCTACAGGGCCCTGCAGGACTGGTCCCTCCTGTCCCTGTTTTTCTTCACTCCTGTTGTTCCAGCCACACTGACTCTTGGTCCAGGAATATTCTGGACTCCTTCCTGCCTCAGGGCCTTTGCACCACCTCTTCTTTCTGACTAGCATTCCCACACTTCCCTCCCCCACTGGTTCCTTCTTATTATTCTGTTCTCAGCTCATATGTCACTTCCTCTGCTCTCAACAGCCTCTTGACTCTGCCAAGCACTCTGAGCACATGCCTCCATTTCCATTTCTTCCTGGCACTGTATTTCCTGATTATTTATTTCCTTACTCACAGTTCCTCTTTCCTTCCCAACTGGAAAGGTAAGGTCCTCAAGGGTGGAGACCTGGTCTGCCTCGCCCATCCTCCTCCCCAGCTCCGGGAGCACGGCTGGGTGCACACTGGGACCTGACTCTGTGTGTGTGTGGTGAGGACAGAACCCAGGGCCTCACACCTGCCAGAAGTCCCCACCACTGAGCTGTACCACCAGCGTCCAGGGGCTCAACTCTTACTGTCCAGTGAGTACAGATGCCCCAGCTGGGAACAGTGCTGGGGGTCGAAGGCCAGCTGAAAACACCGACTGGTGACACTGTGAGTCGGGTCCTGCATCCTGCCCGCAGCAGGCCTGTGCCTGGGGGTGGGCGAGATCCCGCCCGGGCACCTCAGCCCAGGGAGCACCCGAGGTTCCACCACCAAGACCACGCCCTGTGCAGCTGCTCGCTGAAGGCTGGCCCTGGGAGGGTCTGTGTGGCCACCGCTGCCCACAGTGCACAGTATGTGATGGGGAAAGAGTGAGCAGCTCTCCCAGACACCCCTCCATGCCCAGGGCCCCCCGGCCACGCTGCCCACAGCCCCGGTCACCCAGCCCGGGAAGCCCGAGACTGAGTCTGAGCCCGGTCCAGGTCCAGGCATAAGGTTCCCTTCTGGCTACTCTTCCAAGGCCAGAAAAAGGCCACCGAACAGCAAGGGAATGACACTTTCCTACTAGAAGTCAAGTCCAAGTCTCCAGCTCCTGGCTCCTCGTCGCTGCCGCACACAGCCCAGCGAGCCAGCCACACTTTAAAGCCACTACACTCTCCCGAATTCAAAGTGATAAAAATAAATACCAACGGTTAATTCTGAGGGCTGGGCAGGAAGTGACAATCATCATAATGAAGGCCGAGGCCAGCTCAGCCTGGGCCATCACTCCCTAGTCCATGCTCAACGGTATCATATCATGGGATCACAGCCAGTGATCTGAGGTCGAAAGATCGCGGCCAGCTCAGATGAGGGAAACCGAGGCCCAGAGACGCGAAGTAGAGTCACCAAGAGCACACAGCTAGGAAACGACTGACCGGCTCAGGGACAAGTAAACCAAGCCAGTGTCCCTTCCCTCGTCAAATGACCCTCTAGGCTCAGGTCTTTCCCAGACAGAATCCCTGGTATGGAGAAGGCTGCAAGGCTGAGACATGCCCGGCACCATCACTGGGCAAAGGCAGGGTTCCCAGGAGGTGCTCACAACCTTTCTTAGCAACCGATCTCCACCTGTCTCTTTCTCTCTTTCTTAAGGAAATTAAGCTTCTTTAATGGCAACAGAGGTGGACACTTAGGGCTACACAATGTCTTAACTTTCAAGCAGTCTGGCCTCTCCTCTCCAAGGGTCTGAGCCAGATAAGGCCCCTGGAGAAGTGAGACCCCTACCCCCCCAGCAGGATCTCAAGTTCTTGGGGGAGTGCTTTTCCTTGGAGTGTACTGACTGATTTAAAAGGAAAGAACTGCAATTTGCACACCGACGCCCAGTTCAAAAGCAAGACAGAGAATCAGCAAAATAGACTGGGCCTGGCTGCTACTTAAAGAAAAAAATCTTTCCCAAGTTGGCAGATCTTCTTGCCCCAAAAAGCCTTGCAAAGGTTCTCCTCTGAAAAACGTGGACTGCTTCCCCTTCCCTCTGACCGCTGCACCCGCTCCCAGCCACGTGGCTCTGGAGGCTGGTACCTCCTCATGACATGTGACCCTGTTGATACAAACTTGACACAAAAACATGTGTCTGGCCAAGTGGCTTAAGGAATCTAAGAAACTTCCTCTGCCGCCATTAGACTCCCATTTCAGAAGGCAACAGACCAGGAGAAGTCCCATCTCCAGGAAGGAGCCTCCCAGACCAGGGGCCACCCAGAACTAAGACAGCAGCCCAGAGAAGAGCAACCGAGTTTCATTTCCTCTAAAGCTGTCTCCCACAATCACTCTTCCCTGCCACGGGCTTCGATTTCTGCAAACCAAATCCTCCAGATTGAAGCCAAGTGTACTCCTAGCCCACAGCTTCTCCGAGAAAGTGTCACTCTCCACTCCTCCCAGAGAGAAAAAAGGCAGGTGTAGGAGTGTAGGACAGTGTTGAAATCAAGACAAGCTAACAGTTAATCTGTCAAGCCATATTCGGAAACAGCAGACAGAGGTAAAAGGTTCAAGAATGAGCTGTAAAGAAATTCCTGGAAGGAACTGGGGGTCCCTGTGATGTAGAAAAGGGGAGAGAGCGACGATTCTCCCCATTTTACAGGATGTAAAACTGAGACCGCAGATGGGCCAGGCACTTGTCCAAGTTCTGAATCCTGGGGACAAGTACACGGGGCTCTAAAGGGACGTAGCACAGGCTGCTGCACACAGCTTCTGGGAGCGCGACAGCCCGGGCGGTGGCTGCCCCACCCGGTTCCCGAGGGTGGGGGGGCCGCACGACCCCGCCCACCCACCTTGGCCCCGCCTTGTTCCTCTCTTGCTCCGATTGGCCCAACTTCTCCAGGCCCGCCCCTTCGCAGCTCCCGACATATAAAAGCCCCCCGCCCGGGCCGCTCGACCTCCACTCGCCGCGGGCCTGCGAGCGCCCGCCCCTCGTGGGGGACGGGCCGCGGGGTTGGGGGGCGGGTGGTGTCGCCCCAGCCGGGCCCCGGCCCCCTCCCCCACGGTCCTGACAGTCGCCGCCGCCATTTTGACCGCCCGCCCCTTCCCCCTGGACTGTGATTACAGCGACACCCGCTGCCCGGGCCCCACCGCCTGCCCTGGCCCGGCCAGCCACCCAGGGCTGTCCCGGTTACCTCGGCTTCTCCCCACTTCTGTCCGCGGAAAGGCTTTTCGGAGGTCTCAGAGGCGATGTTGGGAGGGAGACGGAACGTGCCAGGGTCCCCAGGCCGCGCCGGGGGGGCGGGGGTGGGGGTCGACCGGGCGGTTGTTGTTGTTGACTCGCGTTGCCGGGTTGCTTGGTCGCCACGACTACCGTGGCTATGGCGCCTCCGTTTCCCTCACCGGGGCAACTGTTGCTACCCACCCTACTTACGTCACGCGTAGGGGCGGGGCCCGGAGTGATTGGCGGTGCCGGGAGAAGTGATTGGACGGCGCCAGGCCCTTAAGATACGCTATTGGCCCCTAGCCACGCTATTCAACGCCCTCTTGACTTCCCGGCGCTCTGATTTATCAGTATGAATGTCCCTCAAAGGAAACTGAACCCTTAAAGGCAGCGGAGCCCGTCACTCCCGCAAGGAAGCAGCGGGATAAGAATAAAGGGGTGGGATCTGTGAAGACGGGATTGGGTTGAGGCTATAAAACTTGCCTTCTGGTTCGACTAAAGGGATGTCGATCTAGCCCAAAGGTTTGCCGCGCTCTCTGGTTGGAAGACGTGCGCGTGCGCAACACGCAAGGCCAGTTGGGAGTTGTAGTCCTCTCTTACGAACTTCAAATGACTTCCCAAATCAAAAAGGCGAAAAAGGAAAGATTTCCTTCGTACTTCTCGCTTTCACTGTGGGCGAGTTTCTAGCCTCTCGCACTGACGTCACGAGAGGAATGCGGTGACGCACGCTGCCCTCTGTGACGTCAGCGGCGGAGGCTGGGCTCGGGGTTCGATGACGTCACGGGCGCTCTTTCCCCACTGTCCCTTGCCCTGAGAGGGTGGCGTGGAAGTGCACAGCACAGGCGGGGTTCGATCTCGGGTCCCAGACTCCGAGCGACCCACTCCTCCGCCCGGGTCGGCCCTTGGGAGCAACCGCCGCGCCCTCTCCGGCCTCCCCGCCCCATCGGGCCGGGAAAGGTCACCACCGCTGGCCGGGCGACCGCGGCTATCTCCGCCACTCAGGCGGCGCGGCCGCCCCGGGAAAGGTCTCCCGAAGGCGGGGGACTTGATTAGCTGTTCCTACCGCGGGCGATAAGCAAAGGTCAGCGCCCAGCCTCTCCCCGAGAAGCTCGCGCCGCCCGCAAGGGCTCCACACAGTGTCCCCGCACCGCCTGGACGCGGTGCCTCGCTTTCCCCAGGAGACTGGCGGGAGGAGAAGTTGAGACAGGCAGAGCCCGGGCCAGGGTGAGCGCCTCCGCTGCAAAAACTTAGTCGGAGGGTAAATAATATTCTAATGCAGTATGTTTTAAATATCAAAATTAATGGAAATTAATCCACGATGAGCCAAATACCAAAATGTTAAAGAAAGGCAGGACCCCTCGGCCCTGGGAGTAGGCCAGAGGTGAGTCTTGCAAGCACAGGATCAGATCTTGTCTTTGACTTTTTTTTTTTTTTTTTAACCTGGTTGCTGGGGATTTAACCCACATCCTGACTCGCCTAGGCAGGCTCTCCACCACTGAGTTATCTACCCCCTGCCCTGTCTGTGTGTCTCTGTGTGTGTGTGTGTGTGTTTTTCACGATTTTTCTAAATGAGTAGATTATAGCTGCTCTTACCACAGGAGTGAAAAATGAGTAATGAATATGTTAATTTATGATATAATGAATATGTTAATTTGTTCCTGTATAGTAACCATTTTAGTATACGATCTATGAATCTCATGCAGTTTTTTTTGGCTTGGTTTTCTTGCTGGGGAGGTGTCTGTTTTTGTTTTGTTTTTGTAGCAGCCCAGGGTTGCTCTACTGTCTAACTACAACACTCTTTGTTAATTACACCCCCTTTATATTTTATTTTGAGACAGGGTCTCACTAAGTTACCCAGGCCAGCCTCGAACTTGCAATCCCCCTTCCTCAACTTCCTGAGTAGGTGGATTGATTAGTGTATCTTATAGCATCATGTTGTGATTACAAATACACAATAAAAATTTTTTTATAATATTTTAATTCTTATTTTGGGGTGTTGGAAATTGAACCCAAGACCTCACACACTACCGTTCTACCACTAAACTACACTGCACTCCCAAGCCAGATCATTTTCGATCTATTTTGATCATCATAATTTTTAGTTTTGCATATATTTTTGTTCTCTTAATATCGATTATCTTGATGACTCAGTTTTTTGGCACCTCCTTGAATTTTATACCCTCATCCCCCTGAAGGTAGAGGAGGGAGGAAAATGCTAAGAGCTTGGAGATTTTAAGTCCAGTTCTGCTGTGTGACATTGAGAAAGTGGCTCCACCTCTCGGAGTGTCTGTTTGCTAGGTCAGCCGACATTATAAGTGCTCTGTTCAAGGCCCTGGGCTGTAAAAGTGAAGAAAACAGAGAAGTCTGTTGCTTTGCATTCTAATAAGAGAGACACAATAAACAATGAGATTAATTAATAAGACAGGTCCACACAGGCTTCAAGAGCAACATAAGAAGGTGGAGAGAAAAAAAAAAGATGTCACAGCCGATGACCTCTGAGCAGTGCTCCAGAGTTAGCCTGAGTGGTCAGGAAGAGCAAACCCCCGAGACCAGCTGGATGGAGCTGCCGAGGCAAGGCTCTGGGTGGGAAGGTCTGGCGAACGCCTCTGGCAGTGACAGTTAAGGGTGGCCTACGGCAGCCCAGCAAAATGCAGCCTTCCCCCCACTTGACAGGTGAGCAAATAGAGGATGGGGGGGGGGAGCTCTCCCCAGGATCCTTCCGCTGGAGGCCCAGCGCCCAGGCAGCCTGTCTCCCTTCTAGGGACTTTCCTGTGCCCTGGGTGTGACCCCAAATAGGAGGGGAAAAGCAGCAGCCCCAGTCTGCCTGGAAATGCCAGCTGAGCCTTCGCCCCGACAGTTCCCCCAAGAATTGGCAACTCTTCCAGGAAGGAGGCGCCCAGGAGTAACCCCAGGAGGCAAAAGGATTCCCTCAGCCCCGGCAGCTGCTTCTGTGAGAGGGTTCAGGGTCCCTGGACCAGCCACGGGGCTTCGTTGTCAGGGAGGGAACTTAGAAGCCCTGTTTTTACATCCCATCCCACCTGCAGAAGTCCCCGAACCCCAAGATGGGCACAGCCAGGCCCCAAGAGCATTTCCTCCAACAAAAAGATTTCTTCCTGCCAGAGTGGCCCATGCCTATGATCCCAGCTGCTGCGGGGCCTGGGCAACTTAGCAAGATCCCCAGCTCAAAGTAAAAAATTAAAAGGGCTGGGGATGTGGCTCAGTGGTAGAGCGCTTTCCTAGCAAGGCCCTGGGGGACAAGGAGGAAAAAAGATTCCTGATAAGTCCCATGGTAGGGAATGCTAGGTGGGAGCTACAAACAATCTTTGTTTCTATCTGATGGTGGCCTAAGTACAGAGGTTTTAAAATCACTGAATTCTGAATCCTTGATCTGTGTGCATGTTGTACCTCCATTCCAGAGTCAAAACTCCAGACATGCATGGACACTGTGGCCCACACATCAACGCAGGAGGCTGAGGCAGGAGGATCACAAGTTCAAAGCCAGCCTCCGCAACTTAGCCAGGTCCAAGCAACTTAAAAGATCCTGCCTCAAAATTAAAAAAAAAAAAAAAAAAAAAAAAGCTGGGGATGGAACTCAGGTAAAGCACCTCTGGGTTAAAACAAAACAACAGGTGTGGTGACAGGCACCTGTCATCCCAGCTTGCTCAGGAGGTTGAGGCAGAAGGATCATTTAAGTTCACAAGTTGAAAACCAGCCCCAACCACATAAGCAAGATCACCTTGAAATCAATAACTAAATAAATAACAAGTTTAAAAATGCACTTGCACTGGGCATGGTGGTAATCCCACCAACTTGGGAGGCTGAGGCAGGAGGTTTGCAAGTTCAAGGCCAGCCTCAGCAACTGCCTGAGGCCCTAAGCAACTTAGTGAGGCTCTGTCTCACAATAAAAAATACAAAGGACTGAGGATGTGGCTCCCTGCTAAAGTGTCTCTAGGTTCAATCCCCAGCACCATAAACAAACACACTCGAAAAAAAAGTCCAAAGAGACCAGAAAGTCTAAGGAGAGTGCCCACTTAAAAAAAAAAAAAAATGTGGAAGGAAAGAGAGAATTAGAGAATCAACATAGTTGCAAAATCAGTGAGATCATTGATTTTAGCAATGATCGTTGGTGAGCCATCAGATATTAGGTAAGGTGCTGGGGACGACAAGGAAGAACTATGCTCAGGCACCGGAGGGTGGCCTGCAGGAAGGCTGGGTACAGGGCGCAGATTCGCCAAAGAAGCCAGACGGTCCTCACCAGCCTTCCCTGAGGCGAGTCTCCGCGTCACACTAGGAGGACTGGCCAGCCTGGTGGGCCTCCTGCTGAGATCCAGAGGAAGCGCCCAGCTTCCCCTAGGACACATCTGTCCAGAGGTTAGACCCCACTGCTCCTCTGTCACTTTGACACCCAGTTTACCGGAAATGGAGGGGGTAGGGGAATCCGTTAAATGATATCAGGAAGCAACGGACAACCCAGAAGGGTGGGGACACCCAGGACTATGCCAGTCTTTTCAATAAGTCACTGAAAAAAAGCGGGGACAATTCTAGGGCAGGTGACACCATTGATATTTGGGGGTCAAAGCACTCTTTGTAGCAGGGCTGACCTGCACCCCGGTCCACGTTGACAAGTTCCCCCGGCTCTGCCTGCTACATGCCACTGGTCTCCCCCACCCACCCCAGCTGTGACAAAGATGTCTGTCCTCACCTTGGCCAAATGTCCCGGAGGTGAACATCCTCCTCAGCCAAGAACCGCTGCCCTAATTGGGAGCGGAGGCCCATATCTGTAATCCCAGCGGCTCAGGAGGCCGAGGCAGGAAGGTCACAAGTTCAAAGCCAGCCTCAGCAGTTCAGCGAGGCCATGAGCAACTCAGGGAGACCCTGTCCCTAAAGAAAACCTCAAGAAGGGCTGAGGATGTGGCCCAGTGGTTCAGTGCCCGTGGGTTCAATCCCTGGCACCAAAAATAAAACTAAAATTTGCACAGCTCCTGAGGGGGGACAGGAGGGTCACAGGTTGCAGGCCAGCCTGGGCAACATAGTGTGGCCCCGTCTCAAAAACAAACCAAAAATTGAGCCCAGGGCAGGGGCCGGGGATGTAGCTCGGGGTAGAACCCTTGCCCAGCACGCAGAAGGCTCTGGGTCCATCCTCAGAACTGGGAAAAAGAGTCGTGGGACAGACAAG